CTTGTGTTTCCGCCTTAATAACAGGGTATACATAAACGTTATATGATAACGTGTTAACCGACGTAAATGATTTGGAGCGTATCGAGAATCTTGTTTAATTAAAACAGAATTAAATAATCATTGGAATGTTTAAAAACGTAGATAAATTTAACATTAAAAAAAATCGGTCATAACGGCGCTAAAGCTGGTCTAGTAATATTATTATATAAAGAGGAAAGATTAATATTTTTGTGCGTAACGAATAAACTCTAAAAGTAGTCTATAGATTTCAAAAGTAGTATTTTGCTATGAGAAAGAGTGAGAGTAAAGTGACATTTGGCTATAAAATTTTATTTAATTCCGCGCCGACAAATACGCAAAAATTACATACAATGTAGGTGTAAACGTTTAGATTTCAAATAGACATGTCCGTTAACATTACTTTTTCGCATGACTATGTCGAACGAATCGTTTTGCATCGTTTAATGCGAACGCATTGAATTGTAATAATTTGTTTGCGTCAATACCGAAGGTGACGTTAATGGCTTACGGAGAGTAAACAGGCTGTCTCTAAGCTGATTATTCAGGATCCCTTGTCAACATCATCTCGGATTATTAACAAACATGTATAACAGCGTTTAATCTATACATATAATAAAATTGGAGTGTCTGCTTGTAATATTAAAAGAAATTTGCTTTGCTGATAACAAAAAATGCATTACACAAGTTTTTGTCTGTCTTTCTATCTGTCCGCAAACCGCGTTTGTTCCGGGTAATCTCCGAACTTTCACTGGAGGGTAGCTGACATAGATGGGCATATTATAGCTTACCTTTTTTAAAATTCCGCGCTGTTAAAATGGCGTAAAGGGTGGTTCTTATTGTGCTAACGAAGAAGAACGAAGCGGGCGACAGCTCGTATGACATAGATATGGGCGGCTGCCTCTCCCTGACGACGCCCTTGTAGAAGCCTGAGTACGGGACGAAAAGTTATATTTATTGATAATACTGTTGTTAAGTGCTTTATTGCAATTAAATTTCACGGTAATATTTTCACGTTTTGTATGTAACGCTACAAACATATTCTCCGGTATTGTTCAATGCACGTGTGTTATGCACGTGTCACGTGACCGCGCACGTACGTGACATCAACGATATTCATCAGCCCGTACAAAATGGCCCATATTCAAAATGGCCGGCAACATCATAACCATATTTAATATATCGGAAAATATTCCTAGAAAATAAAAAATAAATAATATATATTTTTTAGTTAAATGCGTAATTACATGGCCTTTCCAGCCAGTCGCTTAGTGTGGATTTTTTCTATATATTTTTTCTATACCTTTGTATAGAAAAAATCCACAGTAATGTTAAGACAAACTCTGAAATAAATTTCAGAAGAATATTAAGATATTTTGTTTTTTTCTTAGAACTCTCCAGTTATTTTTATCTAACTATAGTTACTATTTCAATTTCTTAATATCTGAAGATTACGTGAATACATTGTAAATATTACTCAACACGATAAAACTTTGGTACAAAAAAATAAGTTAAAAGTAAGTGTTTTTAATTGCAAATTTGAAAGCAATTAAAATAGATTACAAGACACCAAAACGGAACGCACGGTTACCAACCTGCTAAGTTAACAAGTATTTCAAGTTTGGCAGTTTTTTTGCGCAATTTAATCCGTGTGTAGTTTACATATCACATAAGTTTAGAGTTATATAATTTTTAAGTGTAAACTTAGAGTTATAACACACCGGAAACAATAAATAAAGTTACAACTAAGTTATAAACATTCCAATCGACGTATTAACTAAATATATACTTTTTACCTTATATTTTCTACTTTGAGACCATCGTATATCGTTTCTGTTACGGTTGATAACGCAAATAAAATCTTGCATCAAATGACGTAAACTTACTCCACCGTACTAATATGCGAAAGTTTGGATAGATGGATGTTTGTTACTACGAATCTCCAGAACGGCTCGGATCTCGACGTTTGACATAGGTGAAGAACGTAGTTTAGAAGACCAAAGGCCAAAGTTTATTGTGAAATACTGTCCAGATTAAAAAAAAAATGCTATTAGAAAGCTGAAGAAAGAAGAAATTACTGAGTAACATAGGCTACAAGAAATATTTAATTCCGCGTAGGCGGAGTCACGTGAAGAAGATAGTAGTTTTTTTATATATACTGTATTTAATTAATTTTGTACGATGCCGACGTTTGTTAAGTTAAAAGCATGCGGATGATATTATAAAAATATTTCAATGAGAGTAATAAGTTTTCATTTGTCAAAATCTAAAGTCTAGTATACATTTGAACTGGCTTTACTAAGGCGAAGGATTTCAATTTGTGTAACATATTCTCGATGATTATAAAAAGAGAACTTTCTGGAATAGAAATAGCTTGGAATACTGGAGGGAAACGGTATTGTGGCTGCCATAAGACATGACCTTTAACTCGCGTGGGCTGTGAGTTCAATTTACATTTTCGTGGGCAGCCTTATTATAAGTTTAGGCGTACCACGACATTTGAGAAAACCCATATAAAACACTAACTTTCTTAATTACAAACTTTTATGAACACGATTTGAGATAAATGGTAGAAATTATTTTAAGATTGTATTTTTAGTTGACTTCAGTCAATACAAACAAATTTATATACGAAAGTATATTCAGGTGAATATGTGTCTTATTTCAATACTTAATTTATTATTAAATTTTATTTCACTTACCTCCTTTTAAGCCAGCCATCAAATAAAAATAATTGCTCAAAATTCGAGAAATGCGTAGGTGACGCTTACAATTGTTTATAAATATTTTTTGTGCTTCCGACCCACACAGGTTTTGTTCGAAAGTAATCACAATTTTCATTGTCAAATAATTACGACGCTAAATCGAAGAGTGAAAGTTTAGGACATAACAATGGACAATCAAAATGGCGGTCTATAATTTACAGGTTACCAACAGGTTATATTGAATTTATAAGTGAAAGGATTTATTAAAAACAAACTCACCCATTGTTTATGCGAGTAAATTTTCCACAGCTATTGTCATTCGCTTTTTTATTTTTTTTTAATACACTTATTTAGGTAATTATAAATTTAGGTTCCATACTATTTTAATCTGAAAGTTCTAACGTTCAGTTTACTTTTAAATTATATAGATAAAGGTTTTAGACTGGTTTAGGTCTCGACCTAATTTGTCTTTCGAACAACCCATAAACCAGACATTATATTCTGAATGCAAGTGGGAGAGTATTGTTCCAATTTTAAATACTTTGTCCTGTAAAACGGTGTGGGAGGAAAATGGATCTTGGATAGTAGTTGCCAGAAAGGGGTTTTCTTTTAAAGTTGCAATTGTAAGGCAACCTAATATTGTCCAGAAAGCCTTACATTGTTATTAGTGATTCTATTATGTAGACTCTAGTTCGTATGCTTTATAGGTAAATATATTATCGATTTTAGTGAGGTTGTTGCACGAGGAAAGGAAACAGGAGATGTGTTGCTGACGCCCTTTGATGCCTCATCTCTTACTATACAGAATTAGCGTTTCCACTGCAAATATCCTCGTAAAACATGTTATCCCTCTCATCTTTAAAGCGAATGAAAAGGAACACAATATATTTGTGGAAACAGAGTTTAAATTGCAGTTGCACTTAAGTGCAATTTAATACCGCCATCTATTTACGTAAAACGCAACTATATTTTCACGTTTGTGTCACTAGATGGCAGGTTACTCAATTAACACTTATTAACTTTTGCTAAGCACGTTTCTTGTAGCTAATTTTTTAAAATCAAGATTCAAGATTGTATTTGTTATGGTTTTATGTTTATCTGAATATATTTACTAGTTAAAAGTTGATTTCTTATTTCACACATTTTAATAGAAGATAAGTAATGACATGATCAAAGTGGAAAAATAAAAAACGTTAATTTAAGAAGAATCGTTTATTTCTCTTCAAAGTTACCTATCAACTTTGCGATATGGTTTCCCTTATAAATACATGTGAACATATCATACAAACAAATTCGAAGAAAACAACGCTATTTCATATAAAATCCAACTACCCTACAATATTAATTCTGCAACTACCCACAGAAAATATCGTCATGCATATCTTTTAAAAACGCGGATTTTTACAAGGATAAAACAAAGAAGTAATAAAAAATTTAAAAATCATTTGACTTATAAACATCAAATATATTAAAAGTAGCTGGAAAACTTAATAGTAAAAGCACAATAACGCGAAAGCTAATTTTAAAAATAGGACCAAATAAATAAATACCAAACAAATCAGTTCTTTTTAAACCTTTTCATTAGGTAAAAAAATCTATAAAAAAAAACAATAAATAGTACAAAAGGATAAACAGAAGACATATTTTACACTTAATTAATAATTTACAAAATGATTTTGAAATATCCTTGAGCGGTTTTTTTTTATTTTTAGTCTGTACATTGTGGTTATAATTAGCTACACTTTTATATGAGTCAGTTAAAAAAATAAAAATACCTTTTAAAAATTATAACAGATCTTTTTTTAATTTCTTGTGCCAGCCAGTAATATCATTCAATAAGTTACTTTTATTTACTACATTATACATAAATAGAATATTATATTTTATTTTAGCAGGGATTATTTAAGGTTAAAATTAAGTATAATTTTACAAACCATAAAAACACAAACACACAGTCTTTAATTCAGTTTTTTTTTCTTAAAATTTCAGTTGTAAAATTTTCAGAGGAAAAATACAACTTGAAAATACATCTAACTGTAAATTTACCCTAAATTAATCTAAAAGAGATATTTAAGTTTAAAAACTGCTATGAAAATGAACCTGTCAAAATGTTACTAACCTACTAAAAGTTACCGACAAAAGATTAATATGGCAGTGTCGTTAGATATAAAAAAAAAATTAAACGTAATAAGCGTAGTGATCCTAAAAGGTATCATAAAAATACTAAAAAGGGGGCTATACGAACAAAAACCCATTCGCCTACACTAAATTACACGAATATCTAAAATTGTTTAAAAATATCTCTTAATCTTAGTAATTAAACGGAGCTACTACTAGAGGTGTTGTCAACATTTTTTTTTCTAACAATTTAATATCATTTCAATTAAAAAACTTGCTATCTCTTTCTCACATCTTATAATTTTTAGAAGAAAGATAAAGACAAATATCTATGTCTACGCAACCTCTAGTAGTATTTATCAAATGGTAAGAAAAATTCCTATTAAACTATACATCTAATCCAGCCGTAAGGTATGTAATAAGGCAGTTGCTTTCATTGTTTGAGTTTCGATAAAAATATCTTTATATTTGCTATTTTATTGCTAACTGATGGTCTACGGCCCCATAAAAATTGTAAACTATGGTCACTCTAATTCTATGAAGTATTTACATAGTTATTATTTCGTATTGTTAATATTTTTTTATCCAATTGATAATAAATATAATTTAATCATGAGATTTTAGTGTGCGGAGTATTTTTTACCGGAAATTATATTGTTTTGAGTAAAAGTTGTAAGGTATTTTGCAATATTTCTATCTCTATAAAAATACATTTACTTCGCACACTGGACATGCATTGGCCCTCAGTTAAATTTGGTAATTACCAAAAATTACCGTTAAATATTTTTTACAAAAAGAACGTATTTAAAAAATTTTGAAAACTACAATCAACATATAATTTCCATTATCTAAAAAAGTTTTTTTTAATAATTTTGTACACAAAAATGGCAACACTGATCTACAACAGATAACACTTGTGTTACTGTTATTTTCCTATCAAGAGAAACGTACATTTGTCACTAAATTTTTTAATACAACACAAATTTCTCATATTAACATGTAAGTAATACATTCAAGTTTAAAGTTATTAAGTTATTAATTGCTAAGCATCTAACTTACAAAATACCATTTATTTACCTTATATACAAACACATTGTGATGTAAATTGCATTTTATGACAAACTTTTGTACAAAATCATTTACTTTTCAGTCAAAAGAAAATATAATGGCCAGCCATTATTGCAACTACGTATTCATTCAGTGAATTGAATTTTTAAAAGGGACCAAAAGCAACGATGTCATCAAAAATTATGAATATAAAGATAGACCATGGCATTCATAATTTTAAAAACATGTTTTTAAAACTCAAATTCACTGATCTCTATTACATAGACAGGATACAAGACTTGACATTTGTGCCCATTGCCGCCATTTTGGCGCTGTAGTCGCGGTTGTGAGAATTCTAACTAATAGATATATTTTGTCATCAACAAACGCATTTAATTTTATTCAGTAGATCAGTAAATAAATGACATAAAAATCATTAAACGAGTAACTACGGTATACGTTTCGTTTTTAAGAAATAAAGTACGTACCGATGTAAGATTAAGTCAGCTATTTGGTTCGATCCTCATTTTACAGTGTCTTGAATGTACACGATTACATTTTAATTAACAGAAGAAATAAAATCCGTTACCTAGTGCCAATACTGATAAAGTTTGAAATGAAATAATGATTAAAAAAATTGGTTGATTACAATCAACAGAATAGACAACATATTTTCTTTTTTTTACAGGATTTCAAGTTATTACAGGATTTTTAAAATTGTAATCAGTTAATCTTACTATAATATTTTAAATGAGAAAGTTTAGATGACTGAATGTTTATTAAAAGCTATTTCTAGCACGGCTCAACGGATCCTGATGAAATTTGGTACAAATGTAGAACATATACTTTGTATGATTTTTTTTTAAATTCGTACTGACGGAGTCGCGGGCAAAAGCTAGGTAGCTTTATCACTTTTGAGCTAAATACTTAAGACTGTATATTCACCGGTTTCTTTTTGTGGTAATTAAAAAATAACCGTGTATAGTACAGTTATAGTCTCAGAATAGTGTATGATAGTGTGTGCTGTGGGCGTGGCTGTGGGTGTGGCTGAGGGCGTGGCTGTGGGCGGGTCGTCAGTCCTGTGGGCAGCTCTGCACGAAGGACGCAGGGAAGAGACCGGTACGTCCCGTGCGCTGCAACGTGCCCTTGTACCAGCCGTCACCGCGCTTGCGGGACACTACCACGATGTCGTCCACCTTCAACTCTAACTCGTACTCAGAGTTGGGCGGGTACGGCGCTATGCAACGGAATCTGAAACAAGTTAGGAATTACAATAATTACACTCAAAAATAAAGAGTACACTTTTGAAATTGTAGTTTCTAAAGCATTAATGTTAGAATTGCAGATTTTTATATTCAATAAGCTATTTTTGCACATTAAAAATGTTAAAACTGTTATCATTGAAAGAGTTTAGATGGATGGATGGATGTTTGTATGTCCGTAACGGGTCAAAGGATTTAGCTGAAATATAGCATTCATGTAGAACATAGTCTAGAAGTCACGAGGCCGGAGTCACGACAGTTAACTATTCTAATATAATAAAGCGCTAACACACACTGCTTAGTTTTTTTTTTTTTTTTAATAAAAAGGTCTACCCTTCCGACACTCTTTAGGCTGTATATTTTCACCCTAATAAACTTAGAGAGTAAACAATTTGGAAAAAACCTCAAGCATAAAAGGGACAAAAACTACAAGTTGACAACATTAAGGTAGCAAGGTTGCCACGGTATGCTTCGTTGTCATTTATGGATTAAATTGACATTTGCAGTAGACAATTTCATGAATGTGAACTATAAAATAAAGTTTTTCTATTTCTAGCCGCACGGGATCAGCTCATATCATATAAAAATGGTATACAGTACTGTCAATGTTGACAATGTTACCTTTCTTTGACAGGCTGCGCGTGATGCCTGTCGCGGCGAGCCACTGTCACGTCCAGTGACTGCGACTTGCGATGCTGACTCTGCCATGGACCCTCGTTGCTCGCTCTGTGCACATACATACTTCAACACTTTACATACAAATTCGTATGAAAGAAACCTTGTCAAGCTCGTCAGTAGCGTAGAATATGTAAAAAAAAATCCATAATCATAAAAATGATCATCCCTTTTGATATATAAGAAACTATAAAAGAAATATACAAAAAAACTATGACAATTTGATTCATCTCACTGATGTACTTAAATATCGTTTAATGGTCGTTAACAACCACTCAATATAGATTTAGACTCACTTAGAGACCACTAAAGTTACGTAGATCATAAGGATTCATTAATTTCAAAATAACATTTATTTGATTTTTGAATAGTAATAAAACAAAAAGTCATATCTTACCATATTTAAAGTTTCTTTTACAAGAATATGAAATGAACAGTGCGTTAGGGAAAAAGCAAATCATGCAGATGTTAGCCACAAGCGTATTAAAAATTTAAAAACCAAACATTGACGTCACAACATACTCCGTGCTTAATTAGTGTTAAACAGATGCTTAATAACACCTTAATATTATAATTTTGGTATAGTAATACAATGTGTTATTGTTACTTCGAAACTCTTAAATATAATTTTTAATTAAAGATATATTTTATTTTTTAATCATGCGAGTTTTATTTACTTTAAAATTTGCAGTATTAAACAGCATGCAAAATGTTTTAAGGAACTTTCACATCGAATTTACAGAAAATATCTCAGGTATAAATAACAATACATTCATTTACTTATTATCTTATCAAGATTAGAAAATTATTGTTCATTGACAAAATTATTTAAATCAGCGGAAATTCTAAAAAATCATTTATCTTACTGTTCTTTTTAACAAAAGTAATAATCTATTTAAGTGGAAGTTTATTATTAATTCGAATGGGAAACAAAAATTTTATAAAGTGTATGTAAGTGTATGTACTTAATTTTGACATCGAGTATACACAATTCAAATCACATTTAATTTACTTTTCAGCCGTCATATCTGAATCCATTCCCTTCTTAAGCATATCCTCTTTCACACAATCGTTTCATACTTTCTTCGGTCTTCCTCTTCCTTTGTAGCCATCCACATTCAATCTTAACACTTTCAGGTTTATGTCCCCATCGTCTCGTCGCAAAACATGTCCATACCACGCTAATCTTCTGCTTCTCAATTTCTCCACCACTGACGCTACTTTCAAACTTCCTCTAATATACAGATTCTTAACTTTATTCCATTTTTTAAGATCTACTTTTGGACATATTGTATCAAATCGAATTAGCTGCGATGTGAAAGTGCCCTACTGCCCTACTAAAGTGCATGTGTCAACCTGTGCATTCTGTGGTCGTGCAGCGCGAGCATAGCCGCGCGCTCCTTGAGGCGGGCGCGCTCCCCCCCAGCCCCGCCCCCAGCCACGCCCCCCGGCAGCGTGCGCAGCAGCTGCGACGGGCACGACCCCGACCTGTTCCCCGTCAATAATATACCACAATCTCTCACCATTCACATTAATGGGAGAGATACGAAGTTTATATAACACTAGCTGTTCCTCGCGACTTTTTCCACGTGAAAATAGCCTGTCAATCACTGATAACGTAGCTTTTTAATAGTGTAAGGATTTGAACGGCCTAGTTGTGATGAGTTATTTCAATACATACAAAAATACAAATCCTTCCTCTTTATAACATTATGTATAGATATACAAAAACCTCTCGACATTGGCACAATTCGCTTAGGGAGTGCCATAAGCAAAAAACTGAACTGATATTCAGAATAATAAGAAACGCCACGAGTGTAGCCGATATTCTATGTTAGATTTAGGGGAACAACCGTTAACATGGTCTTATTTGTATTAGTTTTCTTATCTCCCCTGGCAACACTTAAAAGATACACTCAAGTGATTTTGGAAAATTTAAAAAGAAATAAAGTGTGGATTGAACTAACACTTGTGTTATATATGAATATGTTTTAATTAGGTTAACATCTATTTGATAAGACGTGATATTTTTTTCTAATATCGATATATTAGATAATTAAAATGACAGACATAATAAAACTACAGAATTATCTGTATAATATTAATAAGACTGCCTGTATAAGTATATATAAAATTATAGACAGGTCTAAACGTCAAATTGATAAATTTCACCCAATGTACATACAAAAAACATAATATTGCACAAAGATAACATAAATTAAAACGGACAATGGACCGAACAGTGATGGCAATGTATGAAAAAATTTAAAAACAAAACTAAGTTAGTAGACTGTGCAAACTATAGGGGAATCTATTACTAGAAAATGATACTAAAACACCCAAATGTGATATTACTAGGTGAATTACTAACTCTAGTTGTTAACATTTAGTTTGGGTACAAAATGCAAATAATCATTTCATTTGTCTTATCTGTTGCAATAATCTTTACGTAAAATAAAATAAAACACTTAAAAAGTCAATAAGTCGAAATAACTCTGGTTTAAGATATTTTAAAATATTAAAGCGCCAATAGCGTAATGGTTTAGAGAATGGACTACCGATCTTGCAGTCGAGGGTTCGAATCCCGCCATTCGACTTTTGTCATGAAGATTATCCTACAAGGCATAGTTAGAATAGGTAAATATAAATATAAAAATACAAAAAAATATAGCCTATGTTACTCAAGAATAATAGTTAAGGATTTTTTTAAATTAGTTCAGTAGTTTTTGAGTTTGTTTGTTACCAACATACAACACATTTTTTTCTCTTTCTATATAAATTTGACTTTTTTTAAACAATTTGTAAAGATTATTGCAACTTTTTACAATAAAAACACGTGTTACAAACACATGCGTACACATTATAGGCACACAATGCAATGTTTCGTGAATGATCCAATATTTAGTAAAAAACACAAACATTAGTATCAAACTGTGTTCCCAGTGTCGCACAACTTGTATTACAACAGAACAATTTCACGGAAATTATCATTTGTTTTTGTTTTGCTGGATATTTACTGTGTTAATGCCCGGTTTACATCATTCCAATCCAGCGAATGAAACCTGCCCTAGATTTAAACCGTAAATTAGTAAACACACTTTTGAATGCAGTTTGTTTTCCAGTAGGAATCCAGGGCTGGTTTGGAATATAAATAGGGCATACCATAAAAATTCGTAAATCTTACATAGAGATAAAAAAAAAAAAACATTAAACTTTACTTTGTTTTGAGTCATAAGTTAGAAACCTAAAAAAATAAATCAATAGCACCAGCAAAACAAGAAACAAACGAACAAAATGATAGCAATAATAGAACACTATAACATATAGTAGTCCCTCACCTGACGTGTACAGGGTGGGGGGCGGCCAGGGAAGGGCCGGGGCCGTCCTCGAACACGGGGTTGTCCATACTGTAGCCGACTGGGGGAGGGGACTTGCATTTCTTCATAGCAGCCAATCTCTTCATTAAACTAACGCCCGTAGAAATAGAGATTTTCTCTGATTTCGTCTTCTCTTTAGGCTGTGAAATATAATATTTCTTATATTATAAATACGAAAGTTTGGATGGATGGTTGTTTGTTAATTTTTGTAGCATAAACGGCTGAATGGATATCGATGAAATTTGGCAAAGATGTAGAACAAAATCTGGAATAACACATAGGCTTACTAAGTTTTTTATTTATTCCATGCGAACGCAGTCGCGGGCAAAAGCTAGTATTTCTATGTACTTAGAAGGAAAGTATACTATAACGAAATACGATTTAAAAACGCAATGTAATGCTTATTTAAATTATAATAATTTATCTAACATATTTTAACGCCTAGATTTTAAAAAGTCTTTTAAACGTAAAATTCGAATACTCTTACATAAAACGGTATTAAAATCGCATCAGTAGAACCTAACCAAGAATATATAAATGCTGATATGGGAACATTTCAATAGCTCTTTATTAAATCAATTTGTATGTGCGCAATTTAATTCCATATTTATCTGCAATATAGAGTTTTTATATTCCTGTTTAAACTATATATAGTTAAAATATTAACCTTGTCAGTTTTGGCTGCAGTTTGTTGTGTCGCCTGCGCACTCCACGGGTACGTCAGCGGTTGAACTGTCAATATGAGATAATAATTATAATACAATCAGGGAATTTGGCGGTGTCACCCAAAAAAACAACGTCATTTTAATATTGTGTAAGCATTGAGACGCGGAACGGTAAGCTATAGGATGCACTTTTTAAATGTATTTGTACGAAAAGAGATAGCTATAATTGTTTTCTTATAATATAAGGTGACAAACGAGCAAGCGGCAACCTGAATCCACCACACAGAAAGCGACCGCTGCCCATAAACATCCGCAATTGCAAATGCGTCGCCTACCCTTAATTGACGGAGGAGGAGACGCACATAAAGAAGACATTTCCCTTTCCTATGCGTCTCCTCCACCGTTAAATCCATATTTCCTTCCCATCCCTTCCTCTCAAGAAAAGGGTGGAAACGGAAAGGGACTAAAATTAGACCTCCGGCACCACACTCATCAGACGAAACGTGGAATTGCTTCCACTTCACGCCTGTTTTCTGTGTGGTCGTAATATTTCACCGGGCGAGCCGGTCCCATTCGTGCGAAGATGTTAAAGCGGGTTCTACCACTTGTTGCAAGAAGTAATACATTCTTTGTTATGTATGTTTTGTCCAATAAAGAAGGTATTTTTTGTAAGTGGAACACCATAGATTTCTCAGATTGTACATCAAATAAATACAATTGGTATGGGATAAGTTACCAAGTGTAGGGCTGGCAGTCCTCGGCGGCGCGTCGGGAGGTGCTTGTGCAGATTTAGGATTCGCTTGAACTGCCGCCTGAAAAAAACATATGAAAAAATAAGTTACAGTAGTTAAAGGCTATAGTGGAGAGAAATTGTTTGGATGGGTTTGTTATAATTTCTCATATTGAAGTAGCTGTTCCTTAAAGTAATGTTTTAAATTATATGCTATCTATCATTTAGGGAGAATTTATGCGACAATCATAATGATAAACTTAAACAAAACAAAGCTTAAGTTAAACAAAATTTAAATATTAAAAAAAAAAAAATATTGCACTTTTTAGTCTTTTAAAGGTTAACAATATATAGCTAGAAAGTGTAGGGTTTCACAAACCTTGTCGTGTTTGGGTCGCGGTGTATGCGGCGTGTGCGGCGTGTGTTGCGCGTGGGGCGCGTGCGGCGCGTGCGCGTGTGCGTGGTGCGCGAGGTGCGCGAGGTGCGCGGCCGACACGTAGTTGCCGGGGAAGACGCCGCAGCGCTGCGAGCTCTCCGAGTACCCCTTGTACCAGCCGTCGCGGCAGCGCTCCGTCACCGTGTACACACCTTAATACCACACTTACAAATATGAAATGACTAGCCTTTAAACGCGACTTCGTACACAACAAATTAAAAAAAAAACATACTTGATATACCTATACGTTATTGCAGATTGATCTAAATCTAGATTCATTAAACTGTTTTGGTATAAACGTAGTTGACCTAACCAAACTATCGCATTTAAACAAAACCTTTCTATATTGAATCAAGATAAAAAAACAAGTACTAGGCCGATTTAAAAACTTGTCTTGCCGCTAGAAAGTTAAACAAAAGTCAGTCAAACATAATTTATTTAAAATTGAAAATTGAATCAACCTTGAACATTGAACAAATTAAATTTTACTGCTTAAAAATAAACATCCATACAATACGATTCAAAGCAGAATTATTATAATGGAATTCTCACCTCCTTTCTTTAATTCCAGTTCATCTGACTTCTGCGGTTTGTATGGATACATAGCTACGTAAGCCGCAGGTAGGGGGCGCTCGTTACTTCTAGAACGACGACGTCTTCTCTCTCCCTCTCTTTCTGTGCGCTTTCTGTCTCTTTCTGGGGCGTGGTCTAAAAGACTGGTCGCTAGGATTTCAGCTGAATGCCTGAAAATGTACAAACATTTATGGTAAGATTTTTATACTAGTATTGTAGAGGAAAGATTTGTATTTTTGTATGTATTGAAATAACTCAAAAACTACAGGGCCGATTTTAAAAATTCTTTCACCATCAAAATGCTAATTTATCTGTGAGTAAGACAGGCTATATTTTTTATTACTTTTTTAATTTCACGCGGGCCAACAGATAGTCAAAACATAAAAACATAGTTTAATAGCTCCAGCAAAAGCTAGATCTTTGAATAAACACTCCATGTATCCAATCTTAAATCTTAAATAGTGAAAAAAAACATATAGACGAATTGAGTACCTCCTTCTTTTGGGAAGTCGGTCAAAAATTAAATAACTCACCTATTTATCGGTGTATGATTCCCTTGTAGATGTGTAGAGGGAGTCAAACTATGTCTTTTCTCTCTTTCTCTATGATGTTCTCTGTGCGAGCGAGACAGATAGTTCCCGTCTTTAGCGTGGGAGGGAGATAGCGCCGCTTGTAGGCCCAAACCGAAGTTTAGTAAAGAATCAGGTCCACTTGGGCGTGTATTTTTAGATGATGAAGGTACATCAAGTCTAGAAGCATCATTATTTTCTAGACTTTCGTTTTGATTCTGTGACGTACTGGCTGTCATTTTAGGACTTTCAGTCGGTGGTAAACTGACATTTAATGAAGTATTAGTTGCTGTAGAACTTTCATTCAGACTTAAAACTCCCATCGAAGTATTTATTGAAGTATCCGCTTCGTTATCTCCGGTTACATTAGTTAATTCCGTTGTATTCTGAGTCGTATTAGGTTGGTTTACGGTTGCATTTCGTTCGGTATTATTATCTGGGGAACTGGGTAAACTGGGTTCGGCACTTTCACACGTACTTGTGTTGGAACTAGTATTGGGTGTTGTTGTCGAACTGACACCGACTGACGGCGTATTCATACTAGAACTTGAATCCGAGCTGACATTATTTGCATTGAAATTTGCGACTGAGATCGGAAAATGTTCGTGAGTTCTTACATTTTGGTACGTAGTGTCGGGTTTTTGCGAGTAATTATCGAATTTGCCGATTCTCATTCGTTCGTAATCATTGATGCGGGATACATTTTGTATGCCGACAGTTTTATTGTTATGTACATTGACAAAATGATTTATAAAGTCTAGTGATAGTTTAGTTTGTGTTGGTTCGACAATATTTCTCGTCATGTTGGTGAGGAGGGGTCCATGCGAGACGGTCTGCGGGACTAGTATTTGCTGCGGTTGTGTGAGCATGCTGTGGGCGTGCGGGGGGTAGTTGTGGGGAGTGGCTGTGAGGGGTGTGAGGGGTGCGGCGGGCGCCGGGGCCATGTTCTGGTAGTTGCCATGAGCGCTAGGAGGCGCGCTGGGGGGCGCGGAGAGGGAGACGGGCTGATATCTATGATGCCTGTGCTCAGAGTGTCCCGGCCTCGTCTCTTCAGCGGGTAGTGGCGGTACTACCCGGTTTAGAGGGACACTGGAACAATAAATTAAATTATTAAAAACGTAATCTATACATCTAATAAAATTGGAGTGTCTGTTTGTAATATCAAAAGAAAAATTCTACATTCCGAGAAGATGATGTATTTGCGTTGCTGATAACGAAAACTGACATAGACGGGCATATATACACATACCGGCTACTATTTTATCTCAATATTGCGTGAATTTACGAAGTCCATGCAATATTGAGATAACTCAAAAACTACTATCGATTTCAATCATTCTTTACCATTACCTACGTTATCGCTGCAAATAGGCTTTTTCATTTCATTTAGAGAAAGTCGCGAGTAAGTTAGTAAATAAAACTAGGGTTATTTGTAAGTGTAACACCGCGTGTTTCCGCGACTGTACCTGTTCATGAGCAGCCGCGCGGGCTGGTTGAACTCCACGAAGGCGATGGGGAAGATACCGACGCGGCGCTCCAGCCGACCCTCCGCCCAGTTCTCGTCCACGCGCCGGTGCACTGTTATTATTGCACCTGAAACGATGTTCAATTCATCAGAACAACAAATATAAACTAATACTTGAACATAAAATTAATATTTTACAGGTCCTATTATTATTTTATTATTCCCCCCGATACTAAAAAAATGTCATAATATAACAATATTGTATCGAAATGGTATACATATATTAATATGATAAAGATTAAAGTGTTTATTTTGTACTAGCTTTAGCCCGCGATTTTGCGTGATATTAAAAAATAACAAAAATGTAGCCTATGTTACTCACCGGTAACGTAGCTTTTTAATGGAGTAAGAATTTTTTAAATCGGTACAGTAGTTTTTGATCCTATTCATTACAATCAAACAAACAAAGTTTTCCTCTTGATAATATTAGTTTTATATATATTGAAATAACTCAAAAACTACTGGACCGATTACAAAAAATCTTACACGATTATTATTATTATTAAAAAGCTACGTTATAAGTAAGCAATATAGGCTGTTACCATTAAAAGTTTTATTCCCGCGCGGACGAATACGAGAGCAACAGCTAGTATAGAATAAAAAGAAATTGGCCATCTATACTAATACTTACCAAGGCTCACCCTTGTTTTGAGAATAACTTATATTTCTCCAGAATTAAATTACAAATAAAAAAATGAAAATATCATTTTCCATACTTAAAAAAATACTAAGTATAAAGTGTTATTTGAAAGTTACCTTTATCAAATGCTAAACAACCTTCTTCGTCAGGAGCGGACATCCTGAAGTCATACAGAGCTTTGCACAACGCGGTCGGTACAGGCAGAGCTACCACTACCTGGAATTAAACATTTATTACTATTGATAAATCAATCCCAAAACACTCTTTGAAAGGAAAACGCTACTTATCTATACTTATATTATAAAGAAGGATTTGCATTAATGTAAGTACTAGCTGTTCCCGTGTGACTTCATGCGCATGAAATTATGAAAATTTCATTTTTACGTAAAAATAGTAAAAACAGAGTTAAGGGATAAAATTTTTGGGATTCTCATCCAAAAAAAAAACAAAATTTGGTACAGGAGGAAATGTGGAATATACTTTCTATTTTATTACATTAAAAAAATAGAGAGCCTTGTGCATTTAATCCTAAAGATGCTAGCTTACTCGTTTAACTTGGTATTAAAAGAAAACAAACTTCTACTTGCCCATAAATCGGGTTAAAACTGTACTAGTTGTTCCCATGTGACTTCATCCGCATAAAATTATGAAAATTTTATTTTATCGTTTACATGTTTCAAATTATCAATAGCAAATGTCAAAATGACAAATCTTGCTTCCTTGATGTTGGCAGCAACTTATGGTCTCTTTCCCACATTAGAGTTTTTATCCAAAATATTTACCCCCTAAGTTTAATGGCGTTAAAATGGCTTTTTATTAAAAAAAGAATTATTCAAAAAAAGTAATTGCTAATATCTTAGGCAAGAAAGCAGTGTGTGTTTATGCTTTATTATAACAGTATAGAAGTATAGATTTAACACTCAAGACTACTGGGCCGATTTTAAGAATTCCTTCACCCTCAGAAAGGTAATTTATCTGTGAGTAACATACGCTATAATTTTTAATTTCATGTGGGCGAAGTCGCGAGCAACAGATAGTCTATACTAATATTATAACGACGAAGGATTTGCATTTTTGTATGTATTCAAAACTCAAAAACTACTGGGTCGATTTAAAAAATTCTTTCACCATTAGAAAGCTATATTATCACTGAGTAAGATAGGCTATGTATTTTACTATTTCTTAATTCCACGTGGACGAAATCCCGAGCAACTGCTAGTACTAAATCATTTAACATCTTAAAAAGCAAGATATGGTCCTACAAGCAGGATAAAAATAAATTATTAGTTCAGATTTAACTGACAGATAGATTTATTTATAAGTCAATGATATTTTTACCTGTACATATGTGATAGGAAACATGCCAGTTCTCCCCGAGCACTCGCCTTGATACCAGAAATGATCCAACTTCTTTTGCAGCATTATCGTGTCGCCTTTTTTAAACGATAGGTCACTGTAAAATACATTGCAATGTTCAGCACAAACATTTGTTCTTTATGATAAAAAGTACGGAGATAAACGATTATCAGCATCATTGTGTAGGCATTTTTTTTATTAAAATATTATTTATATTTCCTTTAACTATTCCAACAAAGCTCTAGGCTTGTAATAGATATTCTTCGCGAAATAGTCGAATGGCGGGATTCGACTCTCGACTTCAGGATCGGTAGTCCCCGTCCCAAACTATTAGACTATTGGCGTTCATATTTTATAGCAGTTGTTAAATTATTTTTACTACGCAGGTACCAATAATCTATCGCTAATAATTTGGGTATAAATTCTTGTGTTGACATAAAGGTGCGTTTACACTGACCCCGGCTCCTTTGATATGAAGTCGTAGATGGCGCGGGCATGCGGTGGCAGCTGCTTGGCTTCCGTCCGCGCACCTTGCTGCGTCTGAGACTGAAAATCGTAACATTATCTTAATACGAATTTCAACACACCATTGGGTATTGGGATTTTGTGCTAGATATAGCATTTTTTCTCATTATATACTAGCTTTTTCCCGCGACTCCGTCCGCGTGAAATTAAAAAAAAAACACCAAAAGCAAATAGTCTATGTGTTCTTTCAGAATACTACATCAATGCGAAATTTATTTAAGATCAGCAGTTTATGCTACAAATTTATTATTATTATCTAACAAACATCCATCCATCCATCCATCTAAACTTTCGCATTTATAACATTAGTATAAATTACTATCTATTGGCCACACCTTCGTCAGCACGAAATTAACAAAAAGCTTAGTAAGGATCCTGTGTCAATTTTATCAAGATATGTATCTTGTGCTAGAGACCTTTTAACAAACATCCATCCATCTAAACTTTCACATTTATGATATTAACAAGAAGTAATATTTGTATTATTACGTAGCATGAAAACTGATTATAAATGTTAAATTCTAATATCACAATAAAATACTTCGTAGAAACTTCCTTTAACGTAGATTTTTCATACTAAATAAACGCTAAGAATGTGCCTAAGCGATAATTTAAGGAGTATGAGGGTATTGTACCTGAGAATGGCCACTCCTGGGCGCCCGTTGGACAACGCTGATCTTCCTTGGAGCTGAATTCTTCATGCCTTCGAGGATCCTCATCAGCAGCACGTTGGGAGGCAGCTCCTCCACCTTGGCCTCGACCAGCACCCGGCATTCCGGACATCGTAGCTCCTTGTGCGATTCTACTATCACCTGGAACGCAAAACGTGGTGTTGTTATACACTTTTATACGAAGAAACGTTTACTTATGGTTTACACACGCACAAATATTTTACCACCGAACCTAAAGAAAGATCGATCCAAAGATTACAGGTTTTTTATAAACCGAGAGATTAGTCGAGTGCTTAATTAGTACGAGCATGTTTGAAGGTGCGCATTACACTAATTTTCTTTATATGATTTTGACATGAAAGTGCAATCCGCTTAAACTATCGTCCAATAAATCTGTACTCTGCGGGATTCAATGAGGAAATAAGCCAACGATAGTCACCTATTGCGATCACTGGAACCCTTAATCTTAAATCTAATGGCTTAGTAGTATAGAATAGAATCACTTTACGTAGCTACAACTTCGTCTTAGCGTATTAAAAAAAAATAGTAACAAACATAGCGTAATATTCAATAATAACGTGGTTTTCTAATGGCTAAAGACTTTTTGAAATCGGTTCAAATAGAACAACTCCATAAAGCAATAATTCACGTTTCTAAGAATACAAACATATCGAAAATATTGTTGACGTAAATGCTCCGAGAACTCCCACACAATACTTATAAATTTAATATTGCTTTTATTATTTGTACAAGTATCAAATATATTTATAGTACACAGAAAGTTACATTGTCTATTGTCATATCGATTATTAACTCGATATGAAAGAAATGATTGAAATAAGATACCTAGAATGAAATACATCAAGATTGTTTCAGTTAAGTAAGTTTTAGAACATAAAATTTTTAGTACTTTAAAATGTAACTTACCAAAAACTAAATATTATTCAAATAACCCACATTGAAAGAACATAATAAAACTTCGATTTACTTCTCCAGGTGTACCTAGTACTACGTACTGAAATAAAACCACTAAATCTAAACGCACAAATGATCAAACGGGTAACATTTGTTTGAATGTTTTCATGCGTACTGTTTCACTGCGCTAAACACAAAACGCACCAAAACAAAAACCCCCAACTCAAAGGGTTTGAAAGAATCTTTTAATCTCGTTCTAAAAAGGCGTCGTTCGTGCGAATAAAACAAGGCTCTGCGCCCTACGAGTATGCAAGTCTGTGATTTTAGTATGTATTTTTACTACAGAAACGAGTGTAATATATATTACTAGCTTTCGCCCACGACTCCGTTCTAGCCTATCGGCGTTCAAATAAACGCGGTATAAAGTTAAACTTAGGAATAAACTGAGTATAAGCAAAATTTGTACTAACTTTATACCGCGTGTATTTGTTCTTCCAGACTATCCCGTACATCTATGCCAAATTTCATCGAAATCAAATCTATAGTTTCGAATTTATAATATTAGTAAGATATCTGTGTTGTGCAAGCATATCTCTTTTAATAAGTCTGTGATTACAGCTTTATAAATGTAAAATTCTTTAGATAAGTTAAAGACCAAATTTCCATTGAATTTGACTAAACATGGGTTTAGTAAAATACATTGACACAGTTGAAATTAATGGTAGTAAGTTAACAAATAAAAATTAAAACTGAATAAAGTCTGAATTATCCACCTCTGCCTCATTAGGATCTTGAGATCGTTAGTTCCTATCATGTTAGGTTTATCTTTGTCGGAACACTTTATGTAATTGAATACGTGTCCAACATCGTCAGACGTCGGATAAGTTGGGATCCGTTCGTTGGAAACTTAACTTGGATTAAGTAACACTCCCCTTGAGCTAAGCTAGCGCTGCACAACTTTGGGTAACACAATTTGCATTTTAGTGCAAACTAAACGAATAGTAATTGAATTGTTAAACTTATGAAGGTTGTAAAACTAATATGAAAGCAAAATTTAATTTTAGTAGTCTACTTAATTTTGAATTGATCACGATAAAATAAAAAAAAGTAATTCATGTTAATCTTTTAAATAAATATAATAATGTGTTTTTTACACGTATTTAAACAGTGGAAACGCTTGTTATGTGGTCAGTGATAGAACATTTATAAAAATAATTATTTATTTCTTACTTAACAACTAACTTCTTAAAACTAAATATTGTAGTCATCACTATGACATGTTAAGAATTAATACGAGTATGTCCAACTGACATTGTTCGGACTATTATAAAGAGTATTTTTTGAATAGTGGGAGGCACAAACAGTATTGTTTGTTAAATGACTTATTATTGGCCTAATTATAAAATACAGTTTCCGAGAATTAGAGATTTGGTAAACAAGTGATTAAAATATAGCAACAACAAAAGCATGATAATTTATCAATGCGGCAACGGTAAATATAACATTAACAGCGACAAATAGCATTAGGAGGAACAAATATAACTTAAGAATAAAAACATGAGATCTTGATATAATCATACTAATATTATAAATGCGAAAGTTTAGATGAACGGATGGATGTTTGTTAGAGTAGCCTAAACGGCTGAACTGATCAGTACACTACAGTTAGAATTATTATGTACCGTAGTTCTTAAGTATTAGAGTTATCTTATATATTAAAGGTTCTTATGTACTACAATAGGTATTATTTAACACGCTCAGCAACATGTACATATATACATTCAGACTGTATGAAATCCACGTTATCGTGAATGAAACGTGATATTGAACCTACCCTTTATAGAGGTTCATGGATCGCTACATCGAGTGCCCTAAACTGTAAAGGTCAATTTAATAAAAGCTTTAAATGGGGTTGTCAGTTTGCTAAAAGTAAATAAATTTAAGATTTAAAAGGAAGAAGTATGTTATTCCTTGCAACAAAAATACGCTACATATTTATTTACATGGATTGATTGAATGATATACGTGGATTAATTAAGTGTACAGACTTTTAAAATTACGTTAATCTACAAAAGATATTAGGGGTGCGGCAATGTTCCACACAAATATACTTTATTCACATATAGTCACACGCATATAAATACATATGAAACGTAACGAACAAATATATTTTCGAGGTAAATATTTTTGGCAGCCCTACTATTAGATAAGTGAGTGCAACAAACGCTGTGTACGTCGCGGCATCATTTGCAAGATATTTTCTCCGAACCCCAGACGAGACGAGACGATGGATCCTTCTCTAGCGTTCTAATTTACGTAAACATCGTTATTTCTGTTTGTGAGCTAGAAATATTACTTTACTTTGTTGAATATTTTATAGCAAAATGATATCTTATAAAGCGTCTTTACATATAATTATTTTTCATTTGTATCTTCCCATCAACTTTTAGGTAAGATTTTTACGTATCTATTTTTCAATCGTAGTCTTAGGGTATTATAAAATTCACACTTTATAGCTGTTAGCGGTACTGAGGGTGGAGGAAACATGCGCATGTATGAGCCCTCCCCTGTCTCTCTTTACATTCCGTCGACATACTCGTGGTCTTGACTACATAAAACAACGTTGTTACACGAAATTACGAGCCGATATGAAGTTTGGGTGGTGAATTTGTTATCTTCCTATCATACAAAGATCTACATTATCTTAAGAAACAATATACGTACGTAACTTATCATTTGCAATTTTATCCGCATATTATGTCAAGGTGCCGACACCGCACTTTGAAGATAAATTCATACAATTCATTAGGTTATCATTTAATATCTTCTGACCATTGTAAATATTAGGTAAAGGTCACATATATCAATAAAATCTAACTTTGAACTAGTACGAGTAGATGGCACATTATGGAAAATGTATGATTTTAATTAAAGCAATTTAAGTTATATTATTTAAGGCTTACCGATATGTATTTAGAATTCGTTTACAAGCGGCCTTACAGACAACGGTATTACGATACTAGTTTGACCTAAGCGGGGCAAACTTCCTTTAATTTCTTCCTGGGGTAACTTCATATAGGTACAAATCTTGTACTATTTCAATCTTTCAAAAATAGACTTAAACTAATTGGTTTTTAATTTCTATCTGTTGTACAACTTTCATTTGTAATTAACATTCATAGTACATTTTCATTTGTAAACAACAATCATCAATTGCCAAAAATATTGCGAAACTTTTCAACATCGTCGGACCAAATAAGCCAGCTCTCAGACGTTGTGCCTTTTAAGGGTTCTTCGTAAACGTGAAAGCCGCGTCGCCATGGCAACGCGAATTTCGTCAGACAATCGATAACGTGATATTTTTATATCGGCCGGTGGACCGTACAATGAATAACAGGTTAATAAACAACCGCATTCATCAACTTTACACAACTTTTTTTGTTATATGACCTTGTTAAAAAGTTGGGAGCCATTTTGATTATAAAGGTATAGTAGAAGCGATATACAGCATTTACCATCAAAACAGTTAACTGAATAAATACCATAGCAATCTTATTATCATCTCCCCCTACATTATCCTGCTCCCGTAGGACCTCACACCAGGTTTTCGTCCTCCAAATAACTCTATCATCCGTCATCTCAGTCATCATTTCCTTCTTGATCATGTCACCTAGCAGTCTTATCGTGTGTTTTCAATGACAAAACAGATGAATAAAAATATACTGCCGTCATTCTTATTCCATTAGAATGAAACAGAGACAACATTACTGTGAAGTTGTACTAGTTTTCTTTAAATGATAAAATACAAAGTTAAAAACAAAAACAAACCGCTAACGACAACGCAGACGTGTTACATTCAAGAGAGCCAAGGTACACTCTATTATTTATGGCCAGAGTCGAGTTCCGAGCAAATACCTTACGTAAGAGGTTCAACAGTTTAAAAGCACTCAAGCGGGAAAAAAAGGTGTTTCAAGCTTAAGAAAGCTTAACTAGCTGCAAGCGCTTAAACTTTAAGCTGTGTATTTATACGTTCGAGCGGAGGTGTTTTTCAGTAGCTGTTTGTGAAGAAAAACGAAAGAAAATAGACGTTTCTAAAGTGATGGCTAAACAGCTTTTTGTAGCTCGTCTACAGAATTTTTACGATCACATGAATCTAACACAATGAAAACTATAACTCTTACAAACTAGCTGTTGCCATGTGGCTTCATCGGGATGAAATTATAAAA